GGATAAGATGTTTGGGGTGTTGGAGGGGCTCAGGGCTAGGGTGGAGGGCGGTGAAAGCTCTGGCTGGGGGTGTGGGCTCTGGGATGGGGTGGGGCTGGGGATGAGTTTGGGATGCAGGCAGGCTGCTCCAGGATAGGGGCTGGAGAGGAGGACTCCCCTCAGCCCTTTCCCTGCCGGCAGCAGCGAGCTCTGGGGGAGGAGCCCCCCTTTCTCGCCCCTCCCCAGCAGCACACTCACCCCCACCACTGTCGCGGCATGTGCTCCTAGGTCCCCTTTCAGATCCGTGGGGGGTGCTGCGTGCGCTTCCTCCCCTGCTGTTGCCCCTGACTGTAGCCTCACTGGGGGTGAGGGATGGGACTGCCTCCTTGTCCAGCGTGGGGCAGGAGTGGTGACTGTGGGCGGTGGGGGGTGGCCCTGTGCTGGGAGCAGGTCCCACCGGAAGAGGGAAGGGTCTGAGGTGGAAGGGCAGGCTCAGAGTCAGTCTGCCCTGGCAGTGGAGCTGGGGGGCGCTCGGACCCTGCGGCAGCAGTTGCTGCAGGGAGGCAGCATGGAGCTGCACAGAGGTGTATGGGGGCAGCAAGAGGGGGCTGGGGGAGGCACGGGGGCAGGACGGCAGGTGGGGCTGGGCGGTCACCCGGCCCCAAATAGTGGTGGGGCTGGGCCCCGGGCCGACTCCACTCACCCCGCGCCGCTGGGGCTAGCAGCGCGGTAAACACGGCTCCACCGCCATCGCTGCCTGCAACTGCTACAGCCTCCTCCTCGTCCTGCCCCCCTACACTCTCCCGAGCCTCCGGAGCGGGGAGGAGCAGCCTTCCCAGCTGGAGCTCAGGGCATTAGCCTGGGCCTGGGCCCACCCAGTACGCCCCGTGCGCATGCCTATGCCGCCCTCCCGAAGTACGAGGCCGCCCACAGAAAGCAGCGGGCCTATAGAAAGCGCCCACAGTGGCAATCCCGGCCTGCCCTCCCCCAGCCTGCATTTTCTAAGGGCAAGCAGGCAGGCGAAAGGCGCTTTTGACAGGACACTGAGGGGTACCCTGCCAGTTCTCAGCAGGGACCTACCCCCAATAAAGCTCCTTTTCTCCAATGGGTTGTGTGCTTTCCTCCCGGAATGGTTGTGGCTCACCTCGGACCGATGGGTCCTCAACACTATCTCCCGAAGTTACACCCTTCAGTTTACCTCCTCCCCGCCCAACTGCCCTCCGCCCCCGTCTCTTCTGGGGGACCCCTCTCATGAGGCCCTGCTTGAGCAAGAGGTGGGACGGCTCCTGGACCTAGGAGCTGTAGAGGTGGTGCCCAAGGAGTTCCTGGGCAGGGGGTATTACTCCCGGTATTTCCTTATCCCGAAGGCCAAAGGGGGCTCAGGCCCATCATGGACCTGCGAAGCCTGAACCACTACATGGTGAAACTCAAATTCCACATGGTTTCCCTGGCCTCCATCATCCCCTTCCTGGAGCCCGGGGACTTGTACGCTGCCCTCGATCTACAGGATACGTACTTCCACATCCACATATTCGAGGGGCACAACTGCTTCCTCCATTTCATGGTGGGACAGAGTCACTACCAATTCATGGTCCTACCGTTTGGCCTGTCCACTGCCCCCAGGGTCTTTACAAAGTGTATGGCTATGGTAGCAGCCTACCTCAGATGCCAGGGGGTCCAAATATTCCCATATCTGGATGACTGGCTAGTCAAAGACACCTCCCAGTCACAGGTGAGGGATCACATGGCGCTCCTCCTGTCCACATGTACTGCTCTGGGGCTGTTGATAAACAATACCATGTCCACATTAGTCCCGGTCCAAGATATAGAGTTTATCAGGACGCTACTGGATGCAACGTCGGCCAGGGCCTCTTTCCCACCAGACAGCTTCGAGACCTGAAAGGTCTCATCGACTCAGTCACAAGGTTCCTGGTGACAACAGCCAGAATTTACCTTCAACTGCTGGGTCACATGTCTGCGTGTACATATGTGGTCCATCATGCCAGACTCAGAATGAGGCCCCTCCAGCTCTGGCTGGCCTCGCAGTTCTCCCAGGCCACAGACAGAATGGACAAAGTCCTCACTGTGCCGAACTCGGTGATCACCTCCCTGCGGGGGTGATCTGTCCCAAAGAACATGCTCCAAGGGGTCTCATTCAGGGACAGGGACCCGTCATTGGAGCTGGTGTCCGACATGTCGGACCTGGGTTGGGGGGCCCATGTGGGGAACTTTCAGACCCAAAGCCTGTGGTCTCTACAAGACCTACCCCTTCATATAAATGTCAAGGAACTGAGGGCGGTGCGACTGGCATGTGTGGCCTTCCCCTTGCACCTGGAGGGCAAGATAGTCAGGGTCCTCACGGACAACATGGCCGCGATGTTCTATATCAACAGGCAAGGCGGGGCCCGATCCTCTGCCCTCTGCCACGAAGCCCTCAGACTGTGGGACTTCTGTATAGCTGATGACATCTACCTAAAAGCCTTCCACCTGCCAGCTCCCAGAATGTGAGGGTGGATCGCTTGAGCAGGGATTTTTCCTCTCAGCACGAGTGATCTCTACACCCGGAAGTGACTCACCAGCTCTTCTGAAGGTGGGGTACTCCCCAGGTGGACCTATTTGCAACCCGGCAGAACTGATGATGCCCCCAGTTCTGCTCCAGGGGGGCCTAGGGAGGGGCACTACCTCTGATGCCTTTACCCTGTCCTGGTCAGGCCAGCTCCCCTACACTTTTTCCCCATTCCCTCTGATCAGCAGGGCCATGGAGAAAATAAAGACGGACAAAGCCAGAGTCCGCCTCATTGCCCCGGCAACACTGGTACAGGACCCTCTCAGGGCTGGCAGTAGCTCCGCCATGGCAGTTGCCATTCCGCCTGGACCTGTTCTCTCAGGACTGGGGCCGCTGTCTCCATCCCAACCTAGCAATGCTTCATCTCACGGCATGGCTGCTCAGTGGCTAGGTGGTGAGGAAAGGACACGCTAGGAACTGGTTCAGCACGTCCTCCTCGAAAGTAGACGGCCCTCCACTCGCCATTCCTATGTGGAGGAGTGGTCTCGGTTTTTGATATGGGTGGCAGGCCAGGGTGTTTCCCCGATGGCCGCCCCGACCCAGCTTATCCTTGATTACCTCCACCACCTGAGGGCCCAGGGACTGGCGCCCTCATCAGTCAGGGTGCATTTGGCGGCCACATCAGCCTTTCATACCCCAGTGCAAGGGCACATGATGTTTTCCCATGCTATGACCGGCTGATTCCTTAAGGGTTTGGACCATCTCTGTCCATATTCCAAGCCCCTGGTACCACAGTGGGACCTAAACCTGGTGCTGGTTCGTCTCACAGGGGTCCTGTTTGAACCACTGGCCACATGTTCCTGGCCTCACCTCTCGTGGAAGGTGGTGTTCCTGGTAGCTATCACATCGGCTAGGCGGGTCTCGGAGCTCGGGGCCCTAACCTCCGAACCGCCATATATGGTTTTTCATAAGGACAAGGTCCAGCTCCGCCCACACCCTGCGTTCCTCCCAAAGGTGGTCTCCGCCTACCACGTGGGTCAGGACATTTTTCTGCCCATCCTCTGCCCCAAGCCTCACACAACTAGTGAGGAACGCTGTCTCCAGATGCTTGACGTGAGGTGAACTCTGGCTTTCTACCTCGTGCGGACCAAGCCGTTCAGTAAGTCTTCGCAACTATTCGTTGCCTTGGCTGAGTGTGCGAAGGGTCAGCCGATTTCCACTCAACGGCTTTCTAAGTGGATCACTTCGTGCATCCGCTCCTGTTATGAGCTGGCGGGGGTTCCCCCGCCACCCATTGTGAGGGCACACTCGACTCGGGCGCAGGCCTTGTCGGCTGCCTTCATGGCCCATTTCCCCATCCAGGACATTTGTAGGGCCGCCAGATGGTCTTCGGTTCACATGTTCACCTCGCACTAAGAGATCATCTCCCAGGCCAGGGATGACGCCAGGTTCTGCAGGTCCGTATTCCATCCCGAGAACTTGTGAACTCCTAGTGACCTCCAACAGATATAGCTTGGAATCACCTATTGTGGAATACACATGAGCAATCACTCGAAGAAGAAAAGACAGTTACCTTTTCTGTAACTGGTGTTCTTCGAGATGTGTTACTCATATCTATTCCACATCCCACCCTCCTTCCCCTCTGTCGGAGTTGTCTGGCAAGAAGGAACTGAGGGTGGGGGGAGCACAGCCCCCCTTATACCGTGCCAGGCAGGCGCTCCCCCCTATGGGTACTGCTAGGGGAAAAACTTCCGGCACCGGTGCACGTGGCGAGCACGCACACCTATTGTGGAATAGAGATGAACAACACATCTCGAAGAACACCAGTTACGGAAAAGGTAACTGTCTTTTACCCTGCAGTCTCTGGAGAGACTGCATCTTTAGAGGTGAGTTCATAGTTCAGTGTTCCTTCGGTCCTACCAAGAGATCCATTTAGTGTCAATTCATACTGGTGCGTGTTATGATGTGGGTATCACTCCACTTTGTCCTGGGTGGGTTTTTCATAAAAGGGTGGAATCTGTTGCCATTTAGCAAGAACTTGTTGAAAACACAAAGTTTTTAAAACACACAACCAAACGCCCATAAAAACATATTCCAGAATCCTTTGGAAGTATCCGTTTGGAAATTCTTGATCTACAAACAGAGCTAGCCTTGGATTTAGACTCTACAGTCCAGACCCTCAAAGTTATAGAGGCGCCTAAATACCTTTAAGGAGCTGGTGCTACATCCTTGGCACAATCTCAAAAGGTAACTCCTGTGTCAGCAGTTTCCCATCTCCTGTCTAGGAAAAGGTTTGCTTCCAGGGTTGGCTTTTTAGTAGATAAAGTTTGTTAAATACACTAACTTATTTGTGAAGGTGGGGGTCTGGGGGTGGAGGGAGGATTTTTGCCCTTTTCTGATTGGGACGTTGGAATCCAGTCAGGTGCTGTTCTTCAGGCAATAGTGTGGTAAAAACAAGGCTGATTCACACCACAGCTGCCTTTAGTGGAGGGACAACCGTAGACAGAGGAGAAGTATGCCAAAGTACACAGTGCATGTCCGAGGGGAATGGCTGGCAGTGCCTTGCCAAATGGGCACTAACACAGTGAGATGGCTGGGGAAGGAAGCTGTGAGACGTTACATGAAAAACAAGCCTGATAATGGGGGCTTTGCCTCAGTAGAAGAAGTGAAATTCTGTGTTCGGAGGTGCAAAGGCCTTGGCTTACTGGATCATGATGATACTTTGGAGGACACACTAGAGGACAATGAGTTTGTTGAAGTTGGTAAGCAAACCTGTAATGACAAATTATATGGTGATTGCACTTGCATAGGAGACCCAAAGTGTGTATTTTCTGTTTACCTTGAAACTTTATATTTCTGTGATATAGCAAATCTAAGATTTAAGAAAAAATACTAAATTGCAAACTCAGTTTTGAGAAGGCTTTTTAGGTCTTCTGTTGTGTCATGCAGTTGATATGAAGTGGAATATGAAGTGTTTGGCTGTAAGTTTTGGATTTGGGGGTATGGTAACTTCACTTTTACTGTACGTTTGTTAAGACATTTAAATGCATTTGGCTGCAAATTAGAATTCTTGTCACTAATTTTTTTCTAGCTAATGAAGAATTCTCAGTAGCAACAAACTATGGGCAATAAGTTTTCATTTTGTTTCTTTGTTTTTCCCATTCTTCATTGTAGTTATAGAAGGAGATGTAATGTCTCCGGATTTCATTGCATCTAAGCTAGAAGGAGTTTATTTGTATCCTTTATTGAGCATTGCTTTGGTTAATTTTTACAATTCTTAGATTTGCTAAAGTTGAAAATGCTTAGTACCTTTTCCCCCTTCAAAGGTCTTCCTTCAAAAACTCTAATTAAATGGCAGCTATTTGTGTGGGTTTTGAATGTCCTTTATTTTCCTTTACGTGGCTTCAGATATAGCAAATATCCAGAACCAGAAAAGGTATGGCTCAATAATGATCTTAATAAAATGTGCCCCAATTCCAATAGTTTTTCATGTTAGAAGGTGACGTAGGGTGAAATCCTCTTATCATGGTGGGGGAAATGGCAGTATTCAAAGAAAACCTATTTTCTCTATTTGCCCATGACATAGAGAGGGACCCCACAGAACATTTCAAATGGAATTGCTGTTTGTGACACATACTATTTGTTTTCAGTAGGACTCAGTAAGTTCCTGCAAACATTTACTACCAAGTGTAGTGCTTTCTATTACTGTGGGTAACCTCACGGAAGCTACAGAAGAAGCACTTTGCTCTGCACTGTTTGCAGGATCATCCATGATAACTGCTTAGCTTGTTACCTCTCGTAAAATAACCTGTTCTTTGCTAATGCTTCTCTGAGATAGTTCTTACTGTATGAATGAGAATGGGGCTGAACTCTGTTGTAACCAAGTTCACTATTAAGCTTTCACTGTATTTATTTAGTTATGATGGTTTAGAAATTGCTGACATATACATGACACTCACTAAAATGCAGTTCTTTTGCGTAGTATATTTATTTAGATGGGAACAGCTTAACAACAGAGGACCTGGTCAATTTAGGAAAGGGGCTCTACAAGATCAAGGTAAAGATTTTGAAAGAATCGAACTCTAAATACATTTTATTTAGTTAGTTTTTAAATAGTAATAGAGGAATGAATATTGACAATATTGTTTTTCTAGCTCACACCTGAAGCTGAAGCTAAAGTCAGACAATCAAGAGAAGTGATTGAAAGAATTGTAAAAGAACAGACTGGTATTTTTTTTTCTTTTCTAACTTAATTTTGTTGTCTGTTTTAGATTAGTTTAGTTAGATTCTCTTCTTTATCTGAAATATCTGTTTCTTTCAGTTGTTTATGGAATCACCACTGGCTTTGGGAAGTTTGCTCGAACTGTTATTCCAACTAGTAAACTCAAGTATGTTGTATCTACTTCCTTCTTTAATTTAGAAAATGTGTATAGAAAGTAGATCCATATTATTTCTATGGTGTACATTTTTAGTCCATTTCTCTTCCTAAAAGGAGAAGGATATTTTTGCTCAGTTTTGTGAAAAAAAAATTCTATTTTTGAACACTGCAAGTTGGTTTTTAAATGACTTTTCTTTCTTTGTAGGGAACTTCAAGTGAACTTAATTCGGTCACATTCTGCAGGTAGTGGGAAATTGATTTCAAATTTGTTTCTCTTCCACAACTGTTAGAATTAGGGTTTGTAACCTGGAAATTGTTGTCATTGCAGGTGTCGGGAAGCCTTTGATCCCAGAGAGATCTCGCATGCTTTTAGCTCTCAGGATCAATATCTTAGCAAAAGGATACAGTGGGATTTCACTGGAAACTCTCCAGCAAGTTATTGAAGCATTTAATGGTAAAGATATTTAGAAATGAATACAGCTGTTTTATCCTTTGTATTACAACGGTGCCTAGATCACAGGCCCATTGTGCTAGGCACTGCACAAGTACATAGAGTCCCTGTCCCAAGGAGTCTAAGTAGGCAAGATGGGACAAAGGTATACAGCACGCAGAAGATTGGGAACTGAAGCACAGAGAGTTTAGTTGACTTGCCAACATTACCCAGGGAGGCTGTGGCAGAACCAGGAATTGAACCCAGGTCTCCCAAGTCCCAGTCAAGTGTCTTAACTAGAACCCCTACTTTCTTTATTGATTTGTTTTCATTAAGTGTTCATGGTTTTATTAATTCCACGGCAGAATTTGGGGTGGAGGAACAGTGCTGTAGTTTGGGAGGGGAGAAAAAGGCAGCACTTCAGATTACCTTTTGCAATTGTATTACTTTTGTCCCTTTGGGTCATTAGACTATGGTAACACTTCGGCATGAAAATAAACTTCATTGTGTGCATTTAACAGACAATGAAAGCAGAATTAAGAATGTTTGCTCAGGGCTGATTACCTGAGAAGACACTAGGTTGCCATTTCAAAAGCAGCTGAAGGCTAATAGTGAGTGAAAGCTGTTACTTTATCAGTTATTTGAAAAGTGGCCTATGTGAAATATTACACTTTCTAGGTATTTATACCTCATCTATCACCATAGTGACTGCCTGTCTGCTAAGGGCTTGATTCTCGAACTGCTAGGCTTCTGTTAGGGGTTCAGTTCTGCAACAGTTGCTCTTTGATCTGGCTAACACTCATGTGAGCATCTTTGAGTTCAATGGCACTACTTCCTGGAAAAAAAATGATCACATAGGTGTTTGCAGGCCCATTGGGACACGTTTACTCGTGTGAGTAGCTCCATTGAAATCAATAGGAGGGCTCATAGGAATAATTCGCTCTGAGTAAGACTTGCAGAAGTGGGCCCTAACTGAGTAGCTGGCCTGAGGCTGGTTGCTAGTAGGCAGTTAATCATGTTAACAAAACCATCAAAACAGTCAATGCCACTTCTATCATTGCTGGCAGGCTCACAGGGAAGTTAAGGGTGACCTTGGAAACTAGCTACCTTTCATTCCTAGAAATGGTCCCGCCAATGAGAGACGGTGAGAGGCGTTTGCAGTTGTTCTGTCTGTGCTATTATACTCATTCTGCAAATAAACTTCAGTTTAGAGGGTTTTCTTTCAATCCATCATCTATCCTGAGCACAAGATTCAGTGTTTATTTGTTTTTTAATCTGTTTATATGAATGAAAGGTTTTTGCATTGCTGGGGACATGAGGCTAATAGAGGCGCTACGGTTATACACATCAGGGTGAACTTACGAAGGGGGGGGAAGGAATGAGGGGAATGGTTGGTTTCAAATCCAAACTTTTTAAAATTTTGTCTCACAAAAATGAAAACAAAAAAAGAAAAAAATCACTTGGGATGAAACATTTCTCATGTCGAATTGAAATGACATTTGACATTTTTTATTTTGCTTTGACATTTCATTTTGAAAATGTCATTTTGATTTGATAGTTTCAAAATGGCTGATTTCAATTTTTTCTTCAATAAACTGATTTGACATTTCCAAAATTTTCGTTTTCAGGTTTTTTTCAGCTGAAAAAAATCTGCCAAATTTGCCCTGAATTTGCACATCATTTCGGTGCCCTGAAAAATGCATTTTTTTGATGAATTTACTCTTTACCAAAAAAAATTTCAACTTACTCTACATCCAGTGGCAGCTTGTCACATAAGGGAGCCATGCTGCCTTGGAGAAGGGGGCCTGCAAAGCAGGAAAAACCAGTGCGGTCTTCAGGGTGGCTCTGGCTTCCTGTTGGATTCTGAGGCTTTGCAGTGGTTACTCTTCCTCCCAAATAGGAGAATAATTCCAGGTATCTGTGGCTTCAAAATGGTGGTTCTTCTAACTTAGTTTTCACCTAGAGCTGTGGGTCTGATGTCAGTAGAACCCTTTTTTTTCAGATTGAAAAGTTCAAATATATTTGAATTGAAAAGTTCAAATATATTTTAAACATTGGAGAAGGAGCCAGGAGTGTGGCGTAAACCATGTACCACTGGTAATATAATACTCCAGTGTTAGTGGAGTGAATTTAGTCGGAGATTTTACGTGCCCAATTTAAGATTCCTTAAAGGGGCCTGATTTTATTTTTTCTTTTCAGAAAGCGTAGTGAAAATCAGATCTCTTCAATTTGTCTTGGGCACCAAAAGTGGGGTACTGAAAATCACTAATCACTTCTGAAAATTGTGGCCAATGTAATTATAGTGGCTGTGGATCCAGTTGTTGTTGTATTAACAGGCTGGTGTACCTTTGCATTATAAACCCCTATGCCGAGGGTTTATGAAACCCTACTGGAGACAACAGTTTAGGGCTAAAATTTGACATACAAAGTTCTGTCCAGTACGCAAGTTTTTATCAGCCATTTTTAAACTGTAAGCAATTTTAAAAAAATGTAATTGTTGAATTTCAGGATGATTTTTAATTGAAACTTCTATCCCAGACTGAAGTGACTTCACTGAGAAATGTACAGTAAAACCTCAGAGCTACGAACACCACACACCTCATTTTGACCTGGAAGAACACAATCAGAAAGCAGCAGAGACAAAAAAAAAAAAGAAGCAAATATAGTACAGTGCTGTGTTAAACGTAAACTACTAAAAACAAAAGCAGGGGAAAGCAGCATTTTTCTTCTGCATAGTAAAGTTTCAAAGCTGTTTTAAGTCAATGTTCAGTTGTAAACTTTGGAAAGAACAACCATAACGTTTTGTTCAGTTATGAACATTTCAGAGTTACGAAACTGCCCAATCATTCCTAGCATATGTGTGTATATGGGCTGAAGGAGCCAAAATTTCAGACTTGGTGCATAAGTAGCCACTAAATAAGCATTTCCTGAAGTGTGGGGTGCGCCCTCCAGGACTAGTGGGGAGATGGAGGGCACAGATGATCTATACATGAGTATGGGTAGGCCTTTTTACAAAATGTAGAAGTGTTGAAAGTGGGGGGGTGTGTGTGATTGCTTTCATTTTCCTGAATGGGGTTCAGTGTCCAAAGGTCTGGGAAATAGTGCTTTAATTTGATCTGAGGAACTTGAGTCTCCAAATATTTAGTAACATCAACAACTGCAGTAGCTTAGGGGCTAACTTCAGGGCTGGCCTTGGGGAAAATAGCTCCCTGGCTGAACTTGTATTTTGGCATCTCTGGCCCCTGTTGCCTCCCCAGGCTCCCCATCCACCCCCTCATTGCCCTGGCCCCTGCTGCCCCTCTGGGCTCCCCACAACGGGTCAGCGGTCCAAGCGGAGGGGCAGTGACAGGAGGGCACCAAAGGGCTGTGGTAGTGGCAGGGAAGCACAGTGAACTGAGAACAGGGGAGGGAACCAGAGTAGTACACAGTGAGTCTCATTTGTGTGGGGCTGCAGGGGGACAGTTACATGGGGACTCCAGAAGGGCAGATCTCTCCCCACACCCCACTACTGAGCATCCCCAATATTCAAGTGCCCCTTCCCAGTCCCAGGGAAGGTGGGTTATGGGTGAGGGAGGTTAAAATGCAAATGCTCCAGTGCACTGGAGGTAGCTAGGGTGGGTGGTGATGGTGGAAAGTTCACTCCTGAAATATTCCAAATGCCATGCACTGACACCTCCCTTTGGGATAAGCAAGAAAAAGGGGGAGCCCCTGAGAGCTGGGAGGCTGGGACCTGGAGACACAGTGAGGGAGGCCCCGGGAGCTGGTTGGGCATGGGGTCAGGACCCACCAGACTGACTTGTCTCTTTTCCTTGCAATTTCAGCTCCCTTCCCCTCCCAACCCTGAAGATGCTGGCATCTTCCAGCTCCCATTTCCATTGGGCAGCATCGCTCTCATTCAGGCTGCCCATGGAAGGAGTAATGGCTGGGCTGGGACAGTCCCAGAGGGTGTGGGGGGAGGAGGGCAGGAAGAGCCTGCCAGCTCTCCGAGTATGAAGGCAGGATTAGGAGTTGGGCTGGGAAACCAGGTGGAGTGGTGAGCAGGGGCCCTCTGCTCAGAAGCAGTGAGGCAGGTGCTCCTGCCACGTCAGGCTGCATCCCGCAGGCACCGAGGGGGAGCCAGAGCCCCTTGCCTCTTCACCCCAGCGCCCCCTGACTACAACGCCCTGGGTGGTCAGCCACGTCGCCCACCCCTAAGGTCAGCCCTGGCCAAATCTTACTCTACTTGGGGATGAGCAAAGATGCTGTCTCCTGCATCCTCTTCGATAGGGTTTGTGCCCCTCAAAGGCTGAAACTCATCCCAGTTTTGCTGAGGCAGTGCAAATATATGATGCCAAAGTGAAGACCTGTAGTTGGACCTATATTTCCAGTCAGCTGCTCAAAGGCAACAAACTGTTCAGTGGGTTCCATACTTTTAAAGGGTCCTTTTAGGAGTGAGCCCTTTAGATTTTCTTGGTCCTGCCTCAGTGCAGGACTTGGTGACTTCCCAATGTCCCTTCCAGCCCTACATTTCTATGATTCTATTCTATGCTATGATGAGCTGAGTAGAAGCCATTCTTGTGACACTAAAAATTTAATCCCGTATCAGGTTTGTTTTGTTATGATTTGTTGGCCAAAAACAACTGGTTTCTTTTTAAACTACAGGAGCTAATTTAGGAAAAATTAACAAATGCCACTTTGCAAGGGGGGTGATGCTTCTCCATTTCACTGCTATTCCAGTATGTCACTTCAAGACAACCAGGGCAGATTCACATGCTTGTGTCTCTGTTTCAAGGAGAGGCTGGATGGAGGCTCTAACCAAAGTCTGATTTCTGCTTTCTTCCTAGCATCCTGCCTGCCCTATATACCTGAGAAAGGGACAGTTGGAGCCAGTGGAGACTTAGCCCCTCTTTCTCATCTTGCTTTGGGGTTGATAGGAGAAGGAAAGATGTGGTCCCCAAAGAGTGGCTGGGCTGATGCTAAATATGTAAGATCAATGTGTCTGACTACTAGACTTCTTTGTCTCTCTCCTTCAATTGGCTCTGGCTAGACTATGTCTATTATGAGAGCAAAGGGAACATTTTTCATCAGAACTGTGTGATGGATTCATAACATTTTATATCCTTTGGATTTTGCGTGTCACTTTCTTGTGATTGAAGTATTTGTTTCTGCACTGCTTTAACAGTTTGTCCTATAGGACCGGTACCATGGTGAAAAATGAGGCATAAGAATAGAAAAAAACAAACACCAGGCATCATGATATTGGGGTTTAGATGCCACCATGTCTGGCATATTAGTAATGCCTAGACAGACACTGTCACCTTGCAGTGAAGCAACATGATGCAAGATCCAACACTGATGAGTGCCAGAATCTGGATGGATGGACAAGATGTCATGTTGTACCAGCTCCAAAGATTTCTAAGTGCACCTTCTGTCCTGCAAACATCAGAACTGGCCCACCAAACCTGAGATGATCCCACAAAACCGAGGATTAATGGTGTGGTTTCAAATGCTAAAAGTAAATGGAGACTTTTAGGGGTTTTTCTCTCCTGAGGAGAGAGGGGTTACTAAGATTTCTGTTATGTATTATAATAGCAAGAAGCAGATGTATAAACTTCAGTAAAGCTGAAAACACATGACATAAATATATAACATTTTCAATAGATTAATTTGGGTTGAAAGGAACCTTTGTGGCATGATTTAGTCTACCCAGCTCTACCATGGCAGAATTGGTTTTTTTTTAAAATGTATTCCATCCCTAATAGATCAGTGTTTGAGCCAGCCATGGATCTCTCGAATGATGGAAAGTCCATAACCCGCCTTGGTAGCTTGTTCCATTCTTTATCTGCCTAGGTACTGACATGACTCCCGTCAACATCGTATCTGAGCACCTCCCAAGTATGTAGCCTCTCAGCATCCCTGTGAGATAGGGAAGTGCAGTTATCTCCATTTTACAGAAGGGAACTGAGGCACAAAGAGATTAAGGACATTAATCTCATTTAATGGTACATTCATTTAAATCAAGCAGTCTGTAGCGGAGTTGGAAATTGAACCCATCCTGCTGATTTCCAGTTATTTGCCCTAACCAAAAGCCATCCTTCCTCCATTCACTAACTGCATTTGCTGTTGGTGGAAAAGTCTTCTGCATCTCCTCTGGGGGCTGAAGCGTCTCTTTCCTGCCACTGTTCTTCCTGCTTCTCCCAGTCATCACTGCCTCAGCAGGCCTCTCTTTCAGATTTACCATCTGTCCAGCCGAGGAGGACTGGATACGATTCTAGTCAGAATCAAAGCACTATTTCTCCTTCATTTGCCATAAGAATCTCTGCTTCGTGGTGTGGAATAACACCACCACTCCTTAATGGGCTGCGACTGCGCCACCTCTCAAGCACTCCCAGACTGTGCTGACCCTGAGGAATGACAGCACTGGACTTGAAGCCTGGGTGTGTCATGTGACAGGACAGAGCATGCATTAGTTCAGGTAGCCAGGTCAAAAGAGGGTTCTCAATGTTAGTGCATAAAAAGCGTTTTTTCCCTCCCTTAACTGTGGAATATTCCAAAATGTTTATTAGCAAAAGATAAAAAAGAGGGTTGTATGCAATCAGCGAAGTCGTCCCATCAATATATTGAAAGACATTTTTCACTAACGCCCTGTTCAATAAACTGCTTTACAGGTGCTGCAAGCCCATGGCCTGAAGCCGATAACCTTGAAACCAAAGGAGGTAATGAAAACCAAGCCTCGCCAATCGGCTTTATGCATATGTTGCCTGTATTTTAAGAGTGAGATGAATTAATGGTTATTTTAAATCCAGTTCCAGAAGGTTTTTAGACATCTATTTCAGGGAACCCATTAGAGACTCTACAGTAAAGGGTATGTCAGCGTTTCCATTTCACCTCCCATTTATGTGTGATTTAGTTCAACCGCAATAATTTATAGAAGCTCTGTGTACAAAGCTTCAGACCAGGGTTAAACTTAGGTCCAGTCTACATATAAAAGTTCCTCTGGAACTGCCATTCATCCACACACACACTTTTTACCATCAGGGGTTTCCTGGACATCCAACAGTGGAAATTACCCCAATTCCTATCTAAGGTAAGTCTGCATCAGTGGAAATTAAATTGGTATAGTGCCTGTGTAGACGCATCCCACTTCCATGGCAACTAAACCAGTGCAAATAATCCTCCTCCTGCTGTTGCGTGCTGCGCTAATTACTGCAGAACTGACCTGTCTGCTCTCTGTTCTACATTTCAGTGCTCAGGGCTCATCTCAGCTGGCTGTCACCAGAAGTAGTGTGTTCAGACAAGCCCTTATTTTATGAGATGGGTTTTGTTTAAGAATGTAAAACCTTTAGTAATTCAGATGGCTTTTATCCTGCATTGTGGGGACCAGAAGGCTTTTTGTGTTGGTAGTTTAGAGAAAGAAACACATTTTATAACTTAAACATATTTTGTGATATTTAATAAGCAGTAACTTGCATTAGCATGGCATAAATGTTTGTTTATGTAAGCATATTCATCAATTTATTAAACAAAAACCCAGGCTGATGAAATCTTACCCACATAAACTGACATGCACGTTCTTAGTATGTAAGATATTCCAGTGCTCTTGATCCCACTGATGGTGGACCATAGTAATTGTCATACCTACAGTACATGCAGCAAGATGCCTGATCCAAAGCCTACTGAAGCCAATGGGAAGACTGCTGTGGCTTCAGTGAGCTTTAGAACAGGCCCAAGGTGAGTTAAAACAGAATCTCCCCCTTAAGTCTAACGGCAAGTCTCCCACTGACATAGCACCAGTGTGGACAGAGCGAAACTTGTGCCGCTCGGACGGGAGAAGGGGGCTTTTTTACATCTCTGAGCAACATACATTAGATTGACTTAAGTGGTAGCATAGACCTGCCCTAAGTTTCCTTGCTTTGGTGGATTTTTTCCACACCTCATCTTCTTCATGTCTAGAGCTGAATTAACGAGGAGCCCGATGGCACCTTAAAGACCTAACAGATTTATTAGGGCGTAAGCTTTCGTGGGTAAAAAACCCACTTTTTCAGATGCGGATACAGACTCACACAGCTAGCCATCTGATACTTAGAGCTGAATTGATTATTTTGTCAAAAAATCAGGAGAAGGGTTACTCTTACAAAGAAAAAGAAATTCTGCCATATTACATGAGGTTTACTTCATGTTACTTCAAACGTTTTTTCAGGGTACAGGATCAGCTTTCTAAGGTACATATAGTGACCAACAGTTAAAAGTAAATTTTTGCTTTAGAGCAATGAAGTCACATCACCATACTGTTTTATTGTAGGAAAAGTACCTCCACTTTTACTGCAGTACTGTAAACGTTTAGTGTTCGCCACTGCATAATATAGTTTTCCTAGGACAGAGGGGACAAAGGGAAGTGTTTGTCATGCCCTTTCTGAGATCTCGAAGTGGATTGTTGCCAGTGATTTCTCCTGTGGTCCTAGTACATACACAACTCCCATTTACTTTAGACAGAGTCTTCTGCATGTTGGGATGACAGGAAGAGTCCTCAGGGCCTTAGCTGTATATCTGGCTTGCTAGGTTTCATCAAACCTATACCAGGAGCCCACTGAGCTGATCAGCGATCATGGCCAGATGGCTATAACTAGCTTGCTAGTGAAACTAGCTATTGGGAAACAACTCCTAGTGAGGAGACATGGGGATGTAACAGATTCAAAGTAGCTGGTGGCTTGTCTGTATCAAAAAATAACCAAATAGCTGAGAACATAGCATCTCTAGCCCTTTTTATGATTCATTTAATGACGATCCAGGAAGCTTAGAAAAGGCCTTTCTTTGACTGACACGTGTAATTATGAAAATTACAATGGCTGTGGCATGTGTAAGGCTGCAACAGATTCATTGAAAATAAACACCTGCGATCTCTCTGAAGGGTCTGGCTCTTATCAATGGAACCCAAATGATCTCCTCGCTGGGATGTGAAGCAGTGGAACGAGCCAGCGCTATTGCTAGGCAAGCGGACATAGTTTCTGCACTGACACTTGAAGTCCTGAAGGGTACAACTAGAGCCTTTGACACTGGTTGGTACTGAATTTTCTGTGTGCACTTTCTCTTAGCTTTTGGAGAGGGCAAAGCAAAAGTGTAACGCTCTTTCATTTGTTTTAACAGATATTCATGCAGTGCGTGCCCATCGGGGGCAGATTGAAGTGGCATTCCGATTTAGGTCACTTTTAGACTCTGACCATCATCCATCAGAAATAGCAGGTGAAACGTCTTTGCTTCCTGCCATGCAAGTCACCTATTTGATTTCCAGGACAGACAGGGAATTAAAACAGTGACGTGTGGCCTTTTCTATAAGAATCTTTCTTTTGTTTTGCAGAGAGTCACAGATTTTGTGACAGAGTTCAGGATGCATATACGCTGCGCTGTTGCCCTCAGGTAAATGAATTTCCCACTCCTTAATACAGGGATAGGCTAATGGCAGTGAAATCCCAATCCTAGTGTAATGTCAGTTAAATGTTGGTTGTCTCCTTTAAAATAATGCAATTACATTATTTCCCACTCAGCTCAAATAGGGCTTAATTGAGACATAAGTAGTTCCTGGACCTTGTACACAGGAATGATTTTTAACTCTCGATAAACTCAATCCATATTAACGCAAGCAAAACTATTGAAATTGGTGGGAGCTTTGCCTATGTAAAAACTAAAGAGCTGGGGTTTCCCAAGTTTACTTATAATTCCTTAACAATTCCTAATGTACATTGACAAATTAGCTAAGCTTTGAGTACTTTCTTGTACATGTGGCTGAGGGACAAGGGGATGCCAACCCAAACACACAAAGAATTATACATTTATGTTGTCATCATCATATTATAAAGTCATAATAATAGTAAGTCAAATCTTTAATAAGTACAGTATATCTAGCATTCCACAATAGCAATTTCCCTGGTTATCACATCAAATCAAAGTCTGTATCCCTGTGAGTGAGTGCCAAGTCTGGGAGTGGGGGCAAGGCAGAAGTGTGCTCTCAGAAAGTAGAATTGGCTGGATCTATATCTTGAGGATGAACTACAAATAGACATAACCTGTGGCTAATTGTTATTGTTTCTTTTAGGTCCACGGCGTGGCGAATGACACAATAGCTTTTGTAAAGGACATAATCATGACTGAAATTAACAGTGCAACGGACAATCCTGTATCTTTCTGATGATTCAGTTTCTCCGTAAAATTTTGGTTGGTTACTTTTTCCCTTCTAAATGATTATTAGTTAATGAAGCAGAAATTATGGCCCTGATCCATCAAATCACTTACGTATGTGCTTAGTCAGTGGACTGCTCTTGCTTAAAGTTAAGCACACATTTAAGTGCTTTGCTGGATCAAGGCCTACATGGTTATAAGGGCAGCTGGGAACTTTGGCCACCAATTGGCCTTGAAGGTTGACGGTGACTTGTCAGTTGACACAAGGTTGGCAAAACTTGCATTCTAGAATGCACTTTGAGTTCTACAGAGGGTAACTACAAGAGCTATGCACCACCTTTAAGAGCTGTATGAGCTCATTTTGGGAAGCTCTGTGCATACGCCTTGTATTGGTGCTCTGAACAAGGGTGAATTCCACTTTTTAAGAATAAAGGTATGTACAAAAGATGCTCCTCTGTGTTAGCTGATAGCAGTGATGAGTGCCCATCTTGCTCACTATATATAAAATTTCACCTCCACTGGTGAGAGCATCACCGGCAATTGAAAATTACACTAGAAACTGTGCTCACGTGTGGCTTTGCATTCCTTATAACCTTCACCTGCTGACCCTCCAGCCTATTTAATAAAATATACTATTCAGCTGTTTCTGTATGGTGGGAGAACGGGGCATTGTTTTACATTTTTTCTTACAACTGCACATGCAGAAGTGTGAGCTACACTATATATGCATATGGATTTGCACATCAATTCTTCCTCCTTTCAGATAGGATATTCAGAGATGTGTGGTACTTCAGTAATTCTTCATTCATGTTTGCACCTTAACTTGTCTTTAAAGATGGTTTTTGCTGAAAGGGGAGAGACCATTTCTGGAGGAAATTTTCATGGTGAATACCCTGCAAAGGTAATTAAGCATTTGGAGAAATATTAGCTTATTTTCTGACATTTTTTAAAAAAATCAGCTGATTCCATCAAGAGCTTCTCTTGTAGGCTCTGGACTACCTGTCAATTGGTGTCCATGAACTTGCTGCAATTAGTGAAAGAAGGATTGAGAGACTATGCAACCCATCTCTCAGTGAGCTGCCTGCATTTCTAGTCACCGAAGGCGGTCTGAACTCTGGTTTCATGATTGCGCACTGCACAGCAGCGGCCCTGGGTGAGTACACAAAGGCCGAAGCAAGAATGGCAAGAGAACAAAATTAGAAAGATCAACCTACATTAGCATTGTGGTAGTTTGATACTACTGATAAAGGAACCCCCAAAAAACAGTTCTCAGCTCCAACTGTAAATTCTCCTTTTCTCCCCATGTCCAGCTGAGCTATCTGATATAGTTGCAGTTCGTTAGACTCAGAGGCCCTGAACCTGTAAAGATTTATGTATGTGTTTAGCTCTAAGCCTGCGAGCAGTCAAGCTAGGGTTGCCAACAGTCCCTTATTATAAGGGATGTCCCTTATTTTTTCATCTCTGTCCAACAAGATCAGGCATTGCTGAATGCTGCAAAAAGCAGCAAGAAATCCCCCGGTGAATGTAGGTGAGTAGTGTTCATTTATTTTATTTATTTATTAATGATAATATTGGGAGTGAGGTGGGGCAGGAGCGCTAAGAAAACAATTCCTTATTTTTTAAATACAATGTTGGCAACAGTAGGATTACTCAAGTGCTTAAATCTTCGTAGGTTTGGAGTCTGAGTTTTGGAAGGGTTAAGTGCCGCAGCCCCACTTTAAATCAGTGGGAGCTACAAGTACCCAGCACCTCTGAAAATCAGGCCCTAATAGCACAACAAAGCTAAAAAGCAAATTGTTTATGTACAAACAATTGTATTTTTGATTCTACACAAAACATATCTCTGTCTGTAGCGCTCCCTTCTGGGGCACCCCGATCCCCAAGAGTGGTGTGGAGCCCCTTAAACTTTCCTTCTCAGGGACACAGCAATAGATGCTGGGTGCTTAGCGCACAGTGTCTCCAGCTAGTGGTTGGATGCATAAACCAATAACAAGCCCGAGCCCCAGGCTATCACAATGCACAGGTACAGTAAGTCAAACCCAACACACAGTCATTTTATTCACAGAAGGGATGGGGGTAAATTAAAAGAGGTAAAGAGAACAAGCAAAGGAATCAAGGCTGTTAAATAAATGATGCCTCAACCAATCCCACAACAATGATTCTGGTGCAGGGGAGGCCTACGGGCTGAGCTGGCTTTCATTTCTCAGGGGTGCAGCAGAATCTCAGGACTCATCTGTGTTGTGGAGCTGGGGGCTCCAGGGCAGGCTCACTCCTTCTCAGGGGGAGAATCAAAATGGCTGCCTGTCTCCCCTTCTGCTTCACAGAGCAAATCTGAGGCTGTTTCTCCTCCTCCGCCCTTCTTCTCCTCCTCCAGCCTGACTCCCTGCAGCCAGCTCTCCCCCTGGTCACAGGTCCCTGCCAAGCTCAGTTCACATGACCCCAACCATGTGCAAGCTTTCCCAGGGTCTGCTCTTGGTATCTCAGGCATGTCTGTCAGACTCTGGCCCATCCTCCACAGGCTGACTTTCCCTCCGTCCCCACCCAGGACAGGCAGTCTCCATTGGAGTTCCAGGCTCTGAGTCTGTGCTGTGCTATGTGGGAGCTGCTGGGAGCTGTTTCTCTGAAGTCCCTAGCCTAGCAAGGGGGCTACACTCTCCCCTGTCTACAGACTTTGATGGCCTCATCAAGTTTAAAACAGTCCACATGCAAACATACAAAATACAGAAAATACTCTCCTTGGCTATGTAATCTCAGACCTACATAACCCCTGATTCATACAGAGGTGCATACATGAGACTGGGATTTCTGGGACATACCGAGTGTTACATGCCCTATGTCCTGTCCCAGAGGTCATAACAACAAAGCCGCCTTGGGTGCTATCCATTTATGTACCATATCCTTAGGGACTCTCAATGAATCACAGGATAACTTTATGGTGGGTTTAACCTGTCTAGGCTCATTATGTCGTGTTCTCCATCTTCAAAGCCAGAGTCATTGATTTCTTCTTGACCATGAATGGCCTGGACATTCTCTTCTCCACTGTAGGGTGACCCTATGGGGAGATCAGGCATGACATCATGAACTGGTGAGGCATACCATGATTCTGGGATATTTAACCTGATTGGTTCACACTAGGGTGCAAACAATCTGTTCAGAGAGCTTGGGCTCAGGCACTTTAAAAGTAAATTGCTGGTGTTGATACCCAGTGTTGTCCTCTCCCTCTAAGCCAGAAAGAGCTACTGTGTAAGGTAATTGTGGTCTTCTGACCTCTGAGGAATAGCTGAAGGTTTGTAAAGGAGTAATACTATGAGGCCATTGCTGACCACTTGTCTGTCGAATGGTGTATGTTGGTGGTGAGGCAGTTCTGACAGGCCTCCTCACCACTTGTCCTGTTGGAAGGATGTGATTCCTGTGCAGGGCGTTGGAGGGGCCCACACCTTTTACTATCTTGAGTCAATTGACTGGCAGGCCTGGCACTTTGTGTAGGGCTCAGCTTTCCACCCATCTTCAGTATTGTGTGTCCCAAGAATGCCCAGGGTCCTGATGAGAACTGACTTCTATGTGCAATTCCTGGTCTCTGACCCTTTGTTTTGTAAAGCTTTGTTGCTTTGATTGTTCTGTGTAGCATTAGTGGCTGTGCTGGGCAGTTTAGAATTGTTTTCTCAGATGGGTAGTATATTGAAGGTGTGTTTCAGGTCGGATTCTATCTACAGAAATGCTGAAACAAAGATCCGCAGGCAGTCAAACTTCTCGACCAAATATGAGAAAGTAAGATGAGTGTTCAGTGTTACAACTGGAGGCGTGTATCAGATGAGAGACTGCTGATTCCAGCTCTGTTTCGATGAGACTCTCGCGTGCCTAACAGTGCAGGAGAGGAGGCCTTAACAGACTCAGCTGGCTTTCAGTCCTCCTTGGTGCAGCCTTATCTTGGACCTCAGACTCTCTGATTTGGAGCTAGGGATACTGGGTCTCAGACCTTCTGAATGGGAGAGGCAAAATGGTTGTCGCCCCTTGTACTGCACAGAGTAACTCTGAGACTGCTTCTCTTCCAAGTCCTCCATCCTGATTCCCTGGTCACAGGTCAGGCTCCGCTCACATGCCCCAGCCATGTGAAGGCTCTCTGGAGTCTGCCATTGGTAGTCCCATCCCAGGCATGCTGATCAGTATATGGCCAATTTTCCATGAGCTGTGTGCGTCCCCCAAGCACAGGCAAGGGAGACAGCTGCTTTTTCAGTCTGATTCTGGGTTGTTTTATATGGGAGCTGCTTCTCTGTGGCAAGAGGGCTACAAGTGAATTTTATTTAGTCAGATTCACAGTGAAAGATCTAGGTCCAGATGAAGTTAGAATACTGTGAATAAGTGCTTCATTACCCCCCTGCTAGAGTAAGACTGCATTTTATAGAGAGTCCTCCAAATAACTTCCTGCAATCCTCACTCTGACAAAACTCCATTACTTTCAAGGGAAGTTTTGCAAGTTCTGCAGATGTTGATTGTTGCATTGGTTCGCGGTCTCTAGGCCTCTCCTCTTAACACCACATTTTGGACAGTATTTATCATGAAAATAAAATTGGGCAAGCCAATCCCTTTTGAGATGTAAAATACCAATTGCCTTAAATAAAGCAATGGCAAGACTCCTTCCCGGCTTTGTACTTTCACTATGAAGCCCACTTTCTGGCTCTTCGGGGCTTTTTTCTTCCTCTGCTTTTATTGCTGTTGGAAGCTCTGTTAGAGCTAGAAGCAGCCAAACCACACATGGCACAAAAGCATTTAAGGTTAGGGGAAGGAGTTGTTCTTGAGTTAGAAACTTGTACAAGAAGATAAAAAGGTCCAAGGGCCACTGTAGAATATAGGACTGGAAAGGTCAAAACTGGGAAATGGAATTCTTTTGAGTATTAAAACATAGATATATGTAGTCCACATTTGAACCAGATATTCCGGTCTGGCCCTGCCAGGCTTGATGCTGGGGAAAGGGAAAGCAATTTTTACACTCCCTAGATCATGGGACCAGCTGGGGGCTGGTCTGACATAAGTTAAGGCATCCTCGGGGCTGCTTTAAGACTCCATTCCAGCAGCTCTGGATTTCAGGGGTGTTGGAATTGCCCAGACATACTGTCTTTCTCTTGGGAATGTTCTATGCTGGGGGAGCCCTCAGGAGGATGCCAAGAGCAGAGGAGGATATAGTGGGGGGGTTTTGCAGCTACTTTGCACCACCAGAGCTGGGCTGAAGAAGGGACCCTTGGTCTATTTTAAACAAGATCTTTTCTCTGGACGTAATATTTACCTTTATATATTTGGGTTAATATCAGCATTGGTTGATCAATGTACAACATTACTGTCTTCAGAGGCAAAATGGCTTGAATGTTAGATGTTGCAGATGGCTCGGTCAAGCCATACCATGGGCATGCACTTACCATGGATTGGTCTGGATCCTTCATTGCAGCATTTTAGACTCAGCCATTGTTTCTAGCTCCTGTTTGTCCATACAGTACACCATTTATTCACACTGGACTTTTGCAGTTTCTGAGAATAAAGCCTTGTGCCACCCCTCTTCTGTGGATTCTCTCTCAACCAGTGCTGCTACAGAGGACCATGTGTCCATGGGCGGATGGGCTGCACGAAAAGCACTGAAAGTTATTGAACATGTTGAACAAGGTAAAATTAAGACACTGATTTTTAGACAGATCTACTGTATTGTAGCTAAGTTAAAACTAAATGCCTTTCTTCTACGTAAAAAGAAAAGGAGCACTTGTGGCACCTTAGAGACTAACAAATTTATTTGAGCATAAGCTTTCGTGAGCTACAGCTCACATCCGATGAAGTGAGCTGTAGCTCACGAAAGCTTATGCTCAAATAAATTTGTTAGTCTCTAAGGTGCCACAAGTACTCCTGTTCTTTTTGCAGATACAGACTAACACGGCTGCTTCTCTGAAACCTTTCTTCTACGTGGCATCATTTTTTTTAAAATGGACCCTTCAGTCGTTTTAAAGAAGTCTTTTAAGATACTGTCTTAAGTAGTTACTTTAATTTCTTTCTAGCAGAAATATTATTGAGATGAATGTAGATTAGTGTGTTCCACTGAAACAAAACCACTTATCAAAGAGACACTAAGCGAAAATTCTTCCATTGTCTCAAAAGATTAAAGTTGTAACTTTGAAAAAATACTAATTTCAGCTGTTGCTGGAAGAACACAACAATACATACCATGAAAACCAGTATGTACAATTTTCTCTTACATGGGTTGATACGTGAAGTGCTTTGAAGCTCTAGAGATCTCTAAAAATACTAAGTATTATCGTTTTGCACATTCAGCAAAGTGAACATGTACCTGGAGAAAACAATGTGTCTTAGATAACGTCTTCCTTAGGAGAATTTGGCCCTTGTGTAAGTGAGAGATAAATGCCACTAGACAGGCAGATACTGTGCAAGCTCTTCCAATACATATGTGTCAAGATCTTTTAGTTCTACCAGAGTTTTCATACTAACAAGAAGTGGGCCTGAACCAAACTCCATCTCTGGACACCCCAGCGCACCTGGGAGTTTCAAAACTGGATGTGAATTCTACAGCTTAGGCCCATTGCTACATCTAATTTAGTTCTGGGGAGGGCTGTGATTTAGGATGTCTCTGTTTTGGGGTGTACCTTGGAAGGGATTTTCATGCGTGCTGAGCAGCCCGCTTGCCAGTTGAAGACAACAGGCCTTCTGAGCGCTTAGCGCCTTGAAAGGTCAGGCTCAGCATGTCTGGACATCCAAAATCAGAGACTGTTTTTAAGTATCAGCAGGAATCTCCATCTGTTTCCCCATCTATTAAATGGGTCTTCTGTTTATCTGCTTCAATTAAACTTTGCATAGCACTTTGAAGTTGTGAGGTACTAACTAACAGTAACAAACTCCTTTTAGACGTTTTCCAAATGTAAACGTACAATGAGTTGTACATCCTAAAACCCACTATCCAGCCTTTCACTGTTTGGTTTCCTAGTGTTGGCCATTGAACTTCTTGCAGCCTGCCAGGGCATTGAGTTCCTACGCCCCCTGAGAACAACCACCCCATTGGAGAAAGTCTATGACCTTGTGCGCTCTGTTGTAAGGTAAAATCAAATAACCTTTTCCCAAAAGTTACAGCTTTGAAGACCTGCTAACTACGGTGTTGGTTAATGTTTGGCTAATGTTCTCAATTTGTCTCCTTTCAGGCCTTGGCTAAAGGATCGCTTCATGGCCCCAGACATTGAGGCAGCTCACAGGCTGCTTGTGGAGCAGAAGGCAGGTGTTGACACTGGCATTTGTTCAGTAACTCATTCCTTATGAAGGGATCTGCAATTCTTCTTTCAAAACAGCCCTTGATGCTTCAAGGGAAAAAGAGCTCTTCCTCTCGCATGCATGATTTAATTACCACCTTCTCTGAAGGAAGATGTGTGAAGATTTTAGTTTGTCATAGTCTTTTAAAGGGACGCTTTTAGTTTAAAAATAATATATTTTAAATGAGTCCCCCCCATTGTGTTATTGATAAATGGCTTAGATTATTGAAACTGACAGGACTTTACAAATATCAGCCCAGTCCTGCAATGAGCAGGACTCCTGCATCTACATGGAGCCCCATTAAAGTCAGTACTTGCTGAGTACTATCCATGGGGAGCTCATTGCAGGACAGGGGCCAGGGAGTAGGAGGACAGTCCATATCCCAAAAAGCTTGTTACCCAATTCAAGACCAAATACAACAGAGGACCTGGCAAACCATAGGAGCACAAGGATGAGAGAGCAGCAATGAGGATGTGCATTAACACAGCCCTATTGTGTGCTCGGCTAGAGGGTTTGGAACCCACTTCATTTTTTTACAGTTGTAAAATGTAACTAACAGAAGAATGAGCGAGAGAGAGATGAGGTCCCTACTGACCTATCAAACTATTTGCAGCCATATGGTCCCTAATAGACCACCTGTCTTACAACCCTGCTAGGGGGAACAACAAAGGAGAAAAAGGAAAACTTTCCAACCTTTAGGTTCCTTAGTAAATCTGAGCCCCAATGTCCGGTGAAATCTGCCACTCCTTGCCAGTGCTGCCAATCACTGACCTTTCTTGGCCATGCCAGTCTTCCATTCCATGCTACCCTGGCACCTGCATGACCAGATGCTTTCTATAAGACACCAGGGACCCATCCCTAGCAGCTCCTATCCCTCCCTAGGTCATCATCTGGGTATTAGGAGATGCAATGTCTCCTCCCACCCGAGAAAACTCACCTTGCATCAGTCAGGACAGTAGCCATATCCCATTCCCTTGCAACTGCACCCAGATCCCCCTTTACCCAGCAAAACTGTAACTTCCCAACAGATTCTTACACTCAGTAGCAGTTTTGAGTAGCAGTGTCGCTCTTCAGCTGCCAGCTCTGACCCTATGTCTATTTCAGATGGCCACATGCAATTTATTTCTGAATATCTATTACATTCAGTTAGTTATGCCCTGCTACTGTCTGCACAGGGTGCTCTACTCTTGTGCATTGACATATGACTCAGTTTGAACATAAAATCTTTCAGCCTTCACGTCTGACTCTGCTGTTGCTCTTTCTGTCCTGTAGGTTTGGGAAGTAGCTGAACCTTACATTGAAAAATATAGACGGGAGCATATTCCTGAATCAAGACCTGTTTCACCCACAGCCTTTTCTCTGGATTCATTGAGAATGAATAAATGTGTTGGGACTGATCACAGTGATCAGGAAGAACTTTAATGTGCTATGAAGTCTGGTACATAGAAAATCCTTTTTCAGTGCTTTGTTTGATGGAGATTGTTTTATTATGATACAACATGGTTTCTTCCTGGAATATAAAGGAAGCGTGTGTAGGTAGTTGTCTCACCTGTAAAAAGATCCTGTTGGATTGTAGAGTGGATTAGATTGAATTTGCTGATGGTCTAATTTAAACAATGGTCTAAATACAACCGTATTGGTACAACTCCATTGACTTCAGGGGACTTGCTCCCGCTAATGCTGGCACTGAATTTGGCCAAATGAGATCAAACATGAAATAATCAGTTACAAGAGAAATGCATCAAATCATACAGTCCTTAATCAGGCAAAACTTCCACTGAAGCCAATGGGAGTTTAGCCTAAGAACTGCTTGATTTGGCCTAATATCTTTATTTACTAAAAATATGTGGAATGGACACTTTACATAGTACAGAGTTTACTAACTGCAATGGCAGAATATTACTGGGGTTACCTTTTCCTTACTGATTTAAAAATCAAACCGTGATATTCCTATAAAAAGTAAATTCTTCATGTGAATAAACCTGGCTATTTATGCATATGTAATCCACCCACTCTGCAGGTGGTGAAATAATTTTGCATTAATGTCAGTTGGAGGGGACTGTGTTGCTAAATTCTACCCCCCTGAAAATTAAAGAGGGTACTTAAAGCTCTTAATTGGATTGTATTTTTGATTCTGTTTCTATTTAAACATTGTTTTCACGTTGTGCCATCCTTTGGGTACGGATATGGCTTTTTACGTATCTCTAACTTTGTCAATGTTAGTATAACTGAGGATTGGAGCACATCAAGCTAGATTTCATTCTCCTGTCTCTCTTGAGTTAGACCTTTTTGACATGCTGCATTCCAACAGTAGCAAAATTGTCTGATACTTTTATCCCTATCTGTTTTACATGCACCTCAAACACTGTGCAGATCAAGTGTGAGTTAAACAGTCCTGTGTCATGAGAGAGCATTTTATAGCAGCTTCTTCACAAATCAGAAAAGCTGTATGAACACTAATATAGCAGGGGTGCTGGAAGTAGGGGTGCAGCAGCACCCCCTGGCTTGAAGTAGTAACAACAACCAAATACATGGTTTCTGCTTTCAGCACCCCCACTATAAAAATTGTTCCAACATCCCTGCAATACAGCACGTGGATCGTTGCTCCAGAGCACACCTGCTGCGTCATTACCAATGTAATATGCCTGGCTCACTAATTTTCCAGAGAATATGGAGTCACACCTAAAATAAACATAGCCAAGCCCAGAGTCAACTTCCATGCACATCTGTATCTGTGGGGTTTTATTTCATATGTTACAATGAAAATTTGAAGCAAAAGATTAGCTCGGGGGGGGGGGGAAAGGGGTGTGGGGATGGGGAAGGGAGAGAGAGAATGCAAGGGCCAAGAAACGTCACAAATTGCCCATCACAACGGGAAGGCCACAATCTGATTTAGAAGGCCACAATCTGAAATTCTATGGTTCATCAGACATCTGCATGGAGACTTAGGCCCTGATCCACAAAAGTACTTAGGCCAGTGGCTCTCAACCTGTCCAGACAACTGTAACCCTTTCAGGAGTCCGATTTGTCTTGAGTACCCCACAAGTTTCACCTCACTTTAAAACAACTTGCTTACAAAATCAGACATAAAAATACAAAAGTGTCACAGCAGACTGTTAGTGAAAAAAATGCTGACTTTCTCATTTTTACTTGGAATATAAATATTGCACTTACATTTCAGTGTATAAGATATAGAGCAGTATAGTCATTGTATGAAATTTTAATTTGTACTTTTCCTGTAGCCTGTTGTAAAATGAGGCAAGTTGATAAGTTGATTTATCCTCTGGAAGATATCTGTGTACTCCCAGGCTCTACACGTATACCCCTGGTTGAGAACCACTGTCTTAGACACATAAGTCCTAAATTCTCTGATTATACCACTCTGTATAAATAGTCATTGGACCAGAGAGAGAGAGAGAGAGAGAGAGCATGACTGTAGCTTGGTGGTTAGGATATCCACTGGGAGGTGGGAGATCCAGGGTCCAGTCCCTCTGCTCCAATGACTCTTTAAATATTTAGCAACTTTTGGAGCAACTTCAACAAGAGAGACTGAGGGAGCCCCATATCAGAATATCCCACAGCTCAGTTGTTAGATCACTCTCTGGAGAGAGAGGATTTGAACGGGGCAGGGAGTCACCCTTTTCCCCCTCAGCCAGAGAGGGTGGAATTGAACCTGGGTCTGCCACATCCCTGGCAAGTTGTTTCCACCCACTCAGCTTAAAGTTATACGGTGGGGGCAGCGGTGGCTACTCCTCCTCCTCTGGCTGTTTTGTGTGGCATGAGGCAGGCACTTAACTCATTCCTGCAAGAAACAACTTAGGAGGTGGGTTCACATTTATGGATTGCTAAACAGAGATAGGTGCTTCCCTGCAGCTGGGACTTGGGAGCCTGTCTCCATGAGGGGGCGGAGTTTTGGACACCCCCTCCGGTCAGTGTCTCCCATTGGCTAATGTAAGTGTCTCCCTGCCTAGCTTGCTGGCTTTGGTGGATTGCATTCTTAGATGCCTGTCTCTCCCCATTCACTGTATATGGAGCCTAGGTGCCTAATTCAAGCTTTGTGCATTGCAGTGCGGGTCTTGTGATATTCTAGGCGCTGCGATGCTCAGCCGTGCAATGCCTAAGTCCTTTCGTTGACCCAGGCCTCAGTGCCACTACACAATTGAGTCCTCACTGCTGCCTGTGGCCAAGACAACCCTCCTATGAGGGAAGCAGCATAAATATGATAGGGTGAGCATTAGCTTATGCTGTAATATTCCTCTTATGCCACCCCTGAGTGAGGGGCTGATGCTTCTGCAGAGCGGACATCCCTGTTCACTCATCTCTGCTCCTAACACACAGAGAGCCAGCTCCACAGTGTACCTGAGCCTGATTCAAATATATTTGGCAAGCTTACTGTGTTGACTTCAACACAATGCTAATTCTGCCAAGGGACTATGTAAAATTGTCACTCTTCTGCTCACTAGATCTGCTCCCAGTTTGTATTCAGTTACGCCTGCTAACAGATACAGGGATTATTTTAAACTGGGCTTCTCTTCTGTGGCAATAACAGCTGACACAGCTGGATTTTGTTCTTCCTTGTGCATTTTCAGAAGAATCTTTTTACTATGTTCTAATCAGTTCCATCTTTGCAGCTCCAGTGAAGGTAAGAGTGTTACACAAATGTCATTGAGGGCATAGCTTGGCTTCTACGACCTTTGTTGGAGGTATGACAGGTGAGACGGAAAGAGACCAGCTTGACTCACAGATCCTAATTTGATTTGTAGGGCTGGCAGCTAGAAAAACATTTTTACTTGTAAATAGAGCATACTTGAGCTGAAAATCATTCAGAGCCAATAACCCAAAATGTCACTGTGCCACTTTTGTAGCATCACCGTTCAGAGCAGAACTACATTTTAAATATATTTGAACTAGTATCTGAGACATTCACCAATTGCCTGTATAAATGTTATTTACCAAAGCTGTCAGAGTGATGTTTAAGGAAGAACTGACTGTGGGAGAGCACATGTTACACTGAGATCCACACCCACAGCTGGTATAACGTCTGCTTGCAGTGAAGAATGTCTAATGACAGGCAAGTAATTAAAATATTACACAAATTTATTTTGTTGGCTTTTCTGGCTTTAATAAAATTAGGACAAAGAAATATGACACACTTCGCTAAAGGCTTATGTATTTTTTGAAGTAAATAGAAAAGCTCAAGGCTCTGACAGATCAGAGGTTCATAATAAGGTTTAACTATTCATGTTTGTTGTGGGTTTCAAATATTTACAGGCTGCTCAAAATGTGATTGGCCTCATTAATGATAAAGGGCTAGTTCTCTGAAAGGCTGTCCTTGACCCAGCTGTATTTGCCTTTATAAATAACATTACAGCTACATAGACTTCTAAACGATTCACTTATTTTCATACGTTATCTTCTTAACAAAGTTGAGACCTTTTCACTCTGCAGAAACTGAATATTTGATCAGTCAAATTAGTGGTAGAGCCCTAGTGATAGCAAGTATTGGAGGGAAGAAAACCACATGCTATGCATATGATGGCTTAGACTTCTGGCTGTATTGCCCTCTCCTCTACATACTGTAGTCTATGTGAAGGGGAGAACATGGAGTGTGTATGTGTGTATTTTTTTTATATGGAGAAGCCACACAAAGGCCTTGAAGTTGCAGATGGCGGTATGATAGGATATAATATATTGTAAACATCTGCAAATGAGCATGCAAGCCCCCGGAAAAATACAAAGAGGAAAGGAAAAATGCCCCCACAAAAGAAACCCAAAGCTTCAAACCACTTAAAATTAGCCGGAGTTGGAGGATCATCATAGTCATGATCTACCCACGATCACAAAAGGCTTATAAACTCAGGTCAGCATTCCCAAACATGTATTTCAGGTCAGATCCAGCCTAAAGTATATCAGAACAGCTGTTTTGCAAAAGTCTGTCCCAAGATTGTGGAAATCTTTTTCTGACTTTCAGCGTGACAAATGTCCAGACATCAGCTGAGATCACAAGTCTCCTTCATTTGGGGCTTACTGCCTATGAGAACTGCTTGCAAGATTTTGGCAGCATTGATTTCAAACCCTATCCTGGATTAATCCTTTGACCTCCACTCTAGTCTATTGACAGGTTTCAGAGTAACAGCCGTGTTAGTCTGTATTCGCAAAAAGAAAAAGAGTACTTGTGGCACCTTAGAGACTAACCAATTTATTTGAGCATAAGCTTTCGTGAGCTACAGCTCACTTCATCGGATGCATACTGTGGAAAGTATAGAAGATCTTTTAGATACACAAAGCATGAAAAAATGGGTGTTTACCACTACAAAAGGTTTTCTCTCCCCCCACCCCACTCTCCTGCTGGTAATAGCTTATCTAAAGTGATCACTCTCCTTACAATGTGTATGATAATCAAGGTGGGCCATTTCCAGCACAAATCCAGGGTTTAACAAGAACGTCTGTGGGGGGGCAGGGGGGGAGGAAAAAACAAGGGGAAATAGGTTACCTTGCGTAATGACTTAGCCACTCCCAGTCTCTATTCAAGCCTAAGTTAATTGTATCCAATTTGCAAATGAATTCCAATTCAACAGTCTCTCACTGGAGTCTGGTTTTGAAGTTTTTTTGTTGTAATATCGCAACTTTCATGTCTGTAATTCCTACCTAAATGCCTCCAGCTTTCACCCTGACCACACCACACGATCCATTGTCTACAGCCAAGCTCTGCGATACAACCGCATTTGCTCCAACCCCTCAGACAGAGACAAACACCTACAGTATCTCTATCAAGCATTCTTACAACTACAATACCCACCTGCGGAAGTGAAGAAACAGATTGATAGAGCCAGAAGTCACCTACTACAGGACAGGCCTAACAAAGAAAATAACAGAACACCACTAGCCATCACCTTCAGCCCCCAACTAAAACCCCTCCAACGCATTATTAAGGATCTACAACCTATCCTGAAGGATGACCCAACACTCTCACAAATCTTGGGAGACAGGCCAGTCCTTGCCTATGGACAGCCCCCCATCCTGAAGCAAATACTC